ACTATGTTATAGGGTGTCCACAGTGCTTAGGAAATTCAGACATAACTTTCAAATTTTGTTTTAAATGGTCAATTATTTCCTTAAGTATTGGAGGACAGGAATGAGAACTAACCCTGGAGCAACAAATTCAGCAAGGAAAATGGGTCAAAGAACAGATGTTTGGAGGATGACAGAGAGCAGTGATACAGGTAACCAGGTCAGCAGGCAGGAATCCTGATTAGAGTTAACTGAACTCCATTTCCCTTTCATAATCAAAATACTTGAAAATCTAATTTATGACACCAGCTAACTGCAATAAAAATTACTTTAAAAGCTGTAGAAGCTTTCAGTTGTGAAAGCAATAAGATTTCATTAGAGTAAGCTGGTTGAAAATCATCTTTATGGGAAAAGATTGCTAAATTCCCGATATGCACATATTAAAATGACAATTAGCAATTTAAATAATTAAACATACTGAAAAAATGAGCACAACTTAACCTCATCTATTGGGTTGATTATTCATTGGCTGTTAAAAGATGTTTTCCTAGAGAGACGCAAGATAAACATATCCTATATTTAACATGACAAAAGTTAATAGTAATAAGCCTTCTCACAGTATGCCTGCACCATAGTTGCAAGCTTAACCTTGCTCGGAGCCAAACAGCACAGGAGTATGTTGCAAAGATATATATGCTGGTATCACATGAGGCAGCATAAATAGAAACAATAGAACTGAATGAGCTCAGGGGCACAACAGCCTGGACATAGCAGTTTATTGCTGGATTTTGGCTGGCAGTTTCCCAGTGGCCTGGAGCACATCATGTGGAGGTACCTGTCTGGACAGGGAATCTGGCAGACATACCCATATAATGGGCCTACAGTAATCCATAGTTCTGCAGTATTTTGGGAAATCACAATTAACAAACTTAAATGTCTACAAAATCCTAATTTGAGTAGTAGTAGAAAACAAAATCTGAAAGAACACTTTGTTAGGAATTACTGAATTTCAGAACAGTCAAGCTAAGGTATACTAACCAACTACAGTGACTATCTGGCTTTAATTTTACATTTGTTAAAATGAGTTCACACATGCTTTCAATTGTAGAGAAGGTTTTGTTTCCTCCCCTTTCCCTCCTAGATAGCTTGCATTTGCCAGTCTAATCATAGACCATATGAGGAGAAGAACCTAACCTCAGGCAGAATCACTACACTGACGTTGTTTCTTGCAGATGTTTGTGTAACCTGTTCTAAAGGCCTGCAAATATGGAGACTCCACAGCAGCTTATTCCACTGATCTATCATCTCCATTGTAATTCTTTGCCCCTCAATGTCTAAGTCTGCAGCCTGTGATAAAATTTGAGGTAATTACTTCTTACCCTATAAAACAATTACAGTGCACAAGTCCCTTTCTCTTTACAGCTTTCTTTCTATGTAGATGAGTATTTACATCCTTACTACACAGTTTCTTTCAATTCGACAACATGAATTCCTTCACAAGCTTTTCCAACTACTTATTCACAATCGATTCCCAAAATCACAATTACTTTCTTTTATTCTCATCTGGACTCTGTATTGAATCAGGTGTTTAAGTGCAATATTAAAAGCTAGAGACAAACTAAGGATGTAGGTGCAGGTTTACCATCCTCCTACTTGTATATTCTCAGTAAGCTGCTTGCCTTTTTCACAACAACTAGCTATTTCTTGACCTGTATCTAGCTCATTACCTCTGCTAATTCCCACGTTCCTTCTGCTTTTTAAGAGCTACCTCTATCCAGTTGTTTGGCATCTTTGATTTGTGAACCTCATCACCATCTTGCTGTGTGTCCTTGCATGTATTGTCTGTTTAACTAGATCCTATTTTTTGCATCTTTTTTTTCCAGTTTGTCCTGACCTTTTTGAATTCTACTCATCTTCCAATAGCTCTCTTAGCTAAGCTCCCATAGTTCCTCTTAGCTATGTAAGATTCAGATGTGCTCACCAGATTCTGGGGTATCAAAGCCATGTTCTAGCAAATCAAGGATTTGTTCAAACCTGAACAAATCTCTCAGTGAGTCTGACACACAAACTTGGGCTTTCATTGTATGTGAAAAAGCAGTGTCAAAGCCACAAGCATTCTAATGAAGCACTTTGCTTCATACTGTTCCAAACCTCATTAACTTGATGGCAGGAGAAAAATTCAGAAATATATTAAAAAACACTCTCCTCAAGTCACTTCATCCTGCTTAAAAACTGCCACTGGAAACAAATGTAGTTTGATGTAGGAGTTCACTTTTTTAAAAAAAGAAGGAGTTTAAGGCAATTTAAAATGGAATTTCTTTGGGGTGGTTAGAAAGAGTGAATTTCACTGATGCTCTTCTGGTATATATGAATGGTTTCAGCTTATTCTTGAAAAAGTAACAAAATATTTTTCTAACCTTTTTTTAGTGAGGAAGAAAGCTTCGAGACAGAAGCAACAATGGAAAGATCATTTTGGACTGGATTACTTTGAACTGTTTTTACTAACACCTATTTAGCTAATCTACTATTAAAAAGGGTTTAAATGCTTAAAATCACATGGACACAAGCACACTGTACCTTGTCAATCCCTTCTACTTCAGCTTTCTAACTGTGAAAGGAAACCAAGCCTTACTGCTCAATATTTTACAGGAAAAGAAACAAGCAGAAAGCGGCCTTAAGTTTTTAAAATGTGTTTCCTGTGTCACAGAAAATACTGCAAAAACAAATTCAAATTTGCCCTTTAGTGTTTTTCTTTTTTAAGATGCATTTGCCAGATAATACACATTTCAAACTCTCTCTGGCTTGACTAACTCTGCATTAGCTGTATGCAAGGGATTCCCAACCTCTGCTACACAAGCTATTTTGAAACAGCATCGCGTACACCAAAACTTACCTCCCTGCACCTCTGCCAGTAAAACAGGGAATAGTTGTTTGGGCAGCAAATGGTGCCTGCACATGCAAGCACCTCTTTTTCTGTGCACAGAGTTTAACAAAACCAGACGATTTTCCTGCAGCTTTAGTGTAATGTTTCTTATTCAACTACGATGATGCCCAAGCAAAGTAAGAATCCTTGCTGCAAATTTAGATGACTACTCTATGTCACCTTCAACAAACAAAGAATAAACTGTACATCTTGTTCAACAGCTGAATGGATATATCTGAAGTAGTTCCCAGTTTCCACATCCCTGAGATCCAGAGTTGTCAGTATGTTTTTGTTTAAGTGTTTCCTCTTACAACCTAATCACTGCAAAAGTAGCAGAACTCATTTAATAACTAGTCTGCATCAGGAAAGCTGACCTAGCACTATCAGCAGTTGGAAATTTTTAGAGAAGTAAAAACTTGTGTGGAGAACACTTACATTAATCATATAGTTGGAGGTCAATGGAAGAAAAAAGGATTACACTCAGACCTTTCTCCACACAGAAAACCCCCTGAAAATTCCTTTTTTTCATACAGGAAATGAGAGCTCTTAGAACATACCCCTTTCATTTCTCTTTCCAATTCACTGGAAAAAAAACCAAAAGCATGTTGCTCAAGACTTCTCTCCTTCCTAGTACTGGATGTGTGCAAGTGTGGTGGCCAAATGTATTAGCAAAGGTTTCTTAATAAAGAATGTTTTTACACCTGTATCAAGGAACAAAGCAGAAAATAGGTGCAAAAGGCAACTTAAGACAGTTTTAGTTTTGTGATCAGTATACGTGGAACCATTCCACGTCTGTGTTATCAGTATCAAGAAAATTAATCAGTTTCTCCAAAGCAATCTCAGATGTTTCCCATGCACACTGCATACTACCAAGCCATGTGAAATATTTTTGCTGTTATTATCTGCTTAGTAAAATGTAGCATCTTTTTAATAAAGTCACTGCAGTAGTATGAATACCACAAGGAGTGAGATAAACAACACTAAATAGGATAAACAAAAAACCCACAATTTCATTTGCGTAACAGGTTAGTAAGTTCATTCTTACATCCACTTACTTGCAAATAATATATGTTATTCTAAAATGACAAGAATGCAAATGGCTTGTTTTCTAGTATGTAGCAGAACTGTGTAGATGCATTAAATCTTTAAAAATAACCTCTAAAAATGTCTTTTTGTGATGATACCAACAAGGGAAAAAACCCCACTTAAGACGTACGTAAATTGCCCAGAAAGCTATAATGGGTTACGTTTCACTCTAGCCAGAGGCTTTGTTTCCCATTATTTAAGATAATTCCTGAAATGTAATAAATAAAGAACATCTAATCTCAAAATGTACATCAACAGATTTAAACATTATTCTCATTAACCCCTACAGAGCCTATAAAATAGGGTCAGCTGAAAGGGCTTTCAAATGGTCCTCAGCAGACACTACATCATGTTCTAGTGATCTATTGCTTGAAAAGGAAAAGTCTTTTACAGCCTAGCCCCTAAGGGTTTTAAGATCATAACACTTAAAATCCGTAAGTACAAGCTTTCTTTGATATCTGGTACGATACTATAAAATATGAATTAACAAGGCTATTAATCATTTTACACAACATTATTAACCATGCTATAATCCAGGAAAAAGGACTGAAATAGTATCATATGTATAACTTGCTTTAAAGTTTGTAAAAATATTTCAGTTTAATTAATGGAAACCACCTGTCTAAACACCATTAGCTCATCTACATTTTTTAAGGACTAGCTTAAAACAGAAATGTAATCTTTAACCAAGTCACACAAACATTCGCTTGCAGTGAAAGGAAGTTGCTACAAAACCTGAAGCGCATTGTTTTTCTGTTATTGGGTTACAGTAGCTCAAGTCTGTAAGCACCAGAATCCCCCATCCAGCTGATCAGTTACAGCTGTTAATTGTGTAGGGAGAGACTGGCTCACATCTGCTTCTTGCATAGTTAGTTAATGGTTCACTTCCAGGTCCTAAAAGGATTGTAGCCTCTCTCAAAAGACAATGTCGGCCCCCATACATGTCTGCCTTCTACACTGCCTGTCTTGTTCTGGTTTGTCACTCCCTATACAATGCAAATCTGAGTGAACTCACATCTGCCACTGATCGACCCAATTCGTGAGCAATCTTTTCCCATCGACCTGGAGTCCCCCCAGGGAACTTAACCATACTTCTTGTCAGCTGGCTGAGGTCCTCCTCTGTCCATTCAGGTGCCTGTAAAACATTTGTAAAACATTCATTACACTGGGATGGTGGACATATTTTTGTGAAGTAATACAGTGAAAAAAAAAAATCTTCAAAAGAATTCATCAAATCATGTAATAAAAATAATTAATAGCTTCAAGTATCTGGGTACTGTCTCCTCATGCTGTCGCCAAAAATGCATAAAACCAGCAGACTAACAGCAAGATATTAAGAATCCTTAACACTCAAAAATGCATTTTGTATATTATATAGACTAACACATTTAATTTCTATCAACATTTATACAATGTACATAGCAATATAAAATGCAGCAAAATAAAAAGCAACAACACTTTTGTGAAAGATTATGGGGTTATCCAGGGAGAAAATTAGAAGGGCTAAAGCCCAATTATAAATTAATCTGGCTATTGCTGTAAAAGACAATAAAAATGTTTCATTTAATATATTAGCAACAAAGGAGGGCTAAGGAGAATCTCCATCCTTTACTGGATGGGGGGGGAGGGGTGTGACAAAGCATGAGGAAAAGGATAAGGCACTTAATGCTTTCTTTGCTTCAATCTTTAACAATAACACCTGTTGTCCTCCAGGTACCCAGCCCCCCGAGCTGGAACAGGGATGGGGAGCAGAATGAAGCCCCCATAATCCAAGGGGAAATGGTCAGCAACCTGCTACACCTCTTAGACACACACAAGTCTATGGGGCCAGATGGGATCCACCCAAGTGTATCAAGGGAGCTGGCAGAAGTGCTCTCTGAGACACCTTCCATCATTTCCCAGCAGCGCTGGCAACCGGGAAGTCCCAGTTGACTGGAGCTTGGCAAATGTGACACCCATCTACAAGAAGGGCCAAAAGGAGGATCCAGGGAACTAGAGGTCTGTGAGCCTGACCTTGGTGCTGGAGCAGATCATCCTGACTGCCACCTCATGGCATGTACAGCACAACCAGGCAATTGGGCACAGCCAGCACAGGCTTATGGAAGACAGGTCCTGCTTGACCAGCCTGATCTCCTTCTATGACAAGGTGACCTGCTCAGTGGATGAGAGCCCAAAGAGTGGTGGTGAATGTTGTCACATCTAGTTGCCGACTGGTTCAAGTGGTGCTCCCCAGGGCTCAGTACTGGGGCCAGTTCTGCTTCATATCTTTACCAATGATATGGATGAGGGGACCAAGTGCACCCTCAGTAAGTCTGCAGCAACACCAAGCTGGGTGTGAGCGTTGTTCTGCTGGAGGATAGAAAGGCTCTGCACAGGGATCTGGACAGGTTGGATCCATGGGCCAAGGCCAGTGTATGAGGTTCAACAGAGCTCAGTGTCAGGTCCTGCTCTTGGGCTGCAACAACCCCAGGGCATGCTACAGGCTTGGGGAAGAGTGGCTGGAAAAGTGCCCAGAGGAAAAGGACCTGGGGGTGCTGACTGACGGCTGCTGAACGCAAGCCAGCTTGTGCTCAGGCAGCCAAGAAGGCCAAGAGAATCCTGG